GACTTCAGAACTCGGAAATGTGGGGTAGGATACACTAATATTTAAATGTTATTCTTTCAAGATAAAAAATATTCAAACAGTCCAGTAAAATCGGCTATTTGCATGCTGAAGACAAAATTCCTTGTAAGAGCACTCAGATGAATGTAAACAAGCCATCTAGAGTCAATTGTTATGTGTGTATCAAGATGGATTTTTTCACTAAGTTTGGTGTACAGTTAACCTGAAGTTTGAATATTTCGCCAAAATGCTCAACTAATAATTTTAGGCAAAATACACAAATATAATTTGATTCTTACACCTTCATATCATATTCTGTGATAATTCAGTATTTTGTCGGCATAATGATAACAAGATTCAATACTTATCTCGTCAAATCTGTGTTGTCTTCCTCTTAGACATCATTCATAAAACCCGGCTTTCCTATAAATTTGCATAGTTGAGAAAAACAGACCTGACAGGCTATTTTATTCCACAATTACCAATAAGATCTCTGTTTATTGGTTGTCATTGCATTGTTATACCTTAATCCATTTCGAACAATAGAGTACATAATAGCAATTTCATGTTATTCACAGATATTCAGTTAATTACAGCACTGTAAAGCTTCATATTTAATTCAAGCTATGAACTTCCAACTAACTGGATAGCACGCTGATCAGTCATCTGCATAAAGTGCAGTTTGAAATGCTTCTTTATGTTTTAAGTGATGCTTGAAATGTAATAAAAGTTTACAAACACTATTACTACTCTTAAAGTCAGTTCACTTTTGAGTTGATTGTATATGTTTGCATGCACAGTGTCAAAATAACAAGGAATAGATTGACAGAAAATGTTAGATACTATTACTATCTGATTTTCAGTCATTATTTGACTTCTGTCAATTCATGATAAAAACCATTTTACACACAACTATATATTCTTGCATACGTCACATGTGATAAAATTATCATATACATTAATACTATCATGTTAAAATATGCATGTTGGCTAACTGTTGTCATCCATAAGTTAGTATGTGTTTTAATCTTAACAAGGTCACTTACAAACCGTTATCAACCAGATTTCAACATATTCTTACTAACCTAAGTGGTTAAATATATAGCTGTATTTTCGGGGGTTAGGAAAACATAACAATTTTTACATCATGGAAAAAGAAATCGTTTCCTGAGCCATTCATGAACAATTGAATTTGGGGAAGGGGGGGGGGTTGTGGGGATTTGGAGATATTTCAAAGTAGGCTGACATCAGTTGTATTCCAATCAGTGGGTCAATGGTAACATTCTGGCCACGGAACCTGAAAGTCGAGGATTCAATCCCTGGTGGGGTCATGGGTGCACACTGCCGAGGAGTTCCATACTAGGACGAAACAGCTGTCTAGTGCTTCCAGGTTTCCATTGTTACTCCAACTGATGTCAGTCTAAGATGAATACCAACTTGAAATATTCATTTTTATCCAGTGGGTAAGTATCACTTCCTTGGAAATTATCAGTGGTATTTACCTGTTGAAGAAAAGAGAAAAAATTCACTTTACTTTTCCCTGTTTCTAATAGTGAATTCGGATTTCGTCGATAGCAGCTTCAAAGTCCTAGAAATTTGTTCTATATTACAAAGGTGATCTACTTTTATCTATATGTTGATGTCCTCACTTTTGATTGGTTTTTTCTGCACTAGCATCAGTTAGTATTGGCTTAAGAAGCTTTTCTTACTCCTGTCGAGTGATAAAAGAAGATACCAGGTAGTGTCCTTCTCTTTATTTATGAATATAGATAACCTACTTATGACTCACTAAGTCGCAACACCTAGGCAGCATCGTTTTAACTGCAGGCGCACAGGCGCAGGTGAGGATGTCAAAGCCAGGATCAGAAAAACAGAAAGACAGGCTTCCACTAATCTGAAATCAGTGTGGAGATCTACTGCATTGCACTGAGGTGCACTCAACATAATGCGTTAACAAGATCCGGAATTTCAACACTAATGTCAAGTCAGTGCTTCTATGTTATGGTTGAGAGAGTTGGTGGCGCGTTACGAAAAGCATTTTCAACAAACTGCAGACATTCATCAACAGCTGCCACCTACCCTCACGTATTGAGCGAGTGGCCAGAATAATAAGAATAAGCAACAAGCAACTCACTCTGACTGGCTGGTTGGTAACGGACCAACCAAGAACCTGTCACTGAACAAATATACAGAAGAAAATGGAGATGGATTGGGTATACAGTGAGAAGGCCTATTGGGGAAACCACGCATCAGATCGGGCCCTCGAGTAGAATCCGGATGGGAAACGACTAGTTAGGCGTTCGAGGCAAGGGTAACATGAAGGAAGTTGTGTGAGGAAGAAACGAAAGCTTGTGGGCAGTCGTGGTGCCAGATTGAGGAGACTGCAGAGAAGAGAGTGCAATGGAGGCCTGCAACTGAATCCCTATGTTTCACTAGGAACCCAAGGGAAAAATAATGACAACATATGGTATAACTGTGAAAAGTGGGAAGTGCCCATATGGAGTTACGTATGCCTTCTGCTTAGATTTTCTAAAGTGGAATAGAAACTTAGTTAAGTGCCTTTGTGATTTCATAATTAACTCAAGAAGACCGTTAAGAACCAAATTTGTATTAAAAATTTTCGGTGTGTAATACATGAGTCGAACTAAGCCTGTCAGATTTGACACAAGATTTACATTTCGGCCATTTTAGAAAATGGTCTTTTTAGATTGTCATTTTACGAATTCGCACTGCTTATAAAAACTTCCATTTTGGATACTTTTTTATCATATGGAAAAGGATGAGTAAAAGGTTAAGACCACAAAAGTATGTCTTGAGGTTTTATTGAGTTTCTTAATATGACCGTGAACAGTCAGTTACATCCAAAACGTTTTCCTTCCGATGTTAATATTTCACCGTGCGGTGTTTTTAACCATTGAGCTGACACAGATCTATGTTCAGATATTATGCTCATATTTTACAGTTTCATTAATGAAACCTATACTTCTGAAACTACTAATCGAGGTATGTGTTCAACTCAAAGAAATTAGTCTGTACCTGAAGACTTGGTTACATGTTTTACAGCATTGAATTCCTGGTTTTAACTCTAAACATCCTAACTTTGAGAGGTAAGGTGAAAATCAGTTAAATAACCTCTTGAATAAAAGGTTTTGGTGGATGTAAATCAGATCAATTATTGGTTACCCATATAATTTTAATCACCCTGTAACCATTCAGCTTTTATCTTTGCATGTTGAAAGCTTCTTCTCAATACATAGTATGGACAAAAAATATAATAACCTCAACCGAAGATTTTTAATGATCAGCTTAACTTATTGCTAGGGATGCTCATATCCCTTATATGAGATAATTGTAATTTGTACAAATCTGAACTGTTTTCTGCGCGCTATTTTTCTTTCACGTGTGTCACATTTCCTATAACCCGCTAGCTTTCTGATTGGCTCCTGCCAATTTAAATGTGCTCATTATTCTTGTTTTTCAAGGTTACTGTAAACTCTAAAAATAGGGTCCTTTTTTGCCAATATGAGTTTTCAGTTCAAAATACTATAAACTCAACTGATTACCAATTATTTTATTTCTTTTTGTCAAGCAATCATTGAAAGCGTTTCAACTATAAACATGTCTCTATATCCCATTTTATACACAGCATAGGCTGCCAAGTCAACAATCAGTGCTAACTAGTCTAATAACTGCCACTTTTTCTTACGGTAGTTTGACAAACGTCGCACTTATATTCCTTAAAAAAGTCCCGGAGACTGTGTGCTTCCAGTAACCTTATCCCTGTTTGCACTGAGCATTTCAGTTTTGTATGGCAGTGGACTAGGCAAGTGACAACTTAGTAATTCTGACTAAGGCTAATATAGTCGACAAAACTGTCATCCACCTGCTGATGAATAATAATTCCTGTGATATCCACAAAGTCGTTGTCCATGCTTACATCAGTCTTTCAAGGGAATTTTTCGGGACGAAAGTCAAAATTCATTACGAAATTTGCTTTAGTTACTTGTAAGCTTTGATTTGTTCACAGTACTGTCAGAATTATGTTTTACTTCTAAAACTTGGCAATATGCGGATAATACTAACTTATTGCAGTAAAAAAGTTAAGCAACTCTCAAAAACTGTCCTATTTGAAAACATTATTCGATTCTTTGCAATTCAAACCCTTTATCGCACTCTTTGGAAATCTGCAAATCCCTGACCGTAAAATATTCCATGTATATCCAAAAGGTGAATGGGATCACATTCTGAAGACCATTCCAGTGAGGTATAATGATAAAGCACAAATCATTGTTACTGAATACATATTAAAGTGTGTTTCGCACCACCTAATTACATCTTTAGACTAAGTAAAAAATCTCTTAGCCAACAACTGCTTGTTGTTTACGTCACTCCACCTTCAGTCAAACCTACGTAATAAGTCTACTCACCAATTTACAGATAACTGGAGCAACTTTACACGAAGAGACATTGACATAGCTCCATGTAAACTAGATCAATCAAATTCAGACTGTGGATAACCATGAGAAAATCAAGAACACAGTGTAAATCATTTTTTTCATACAATTTAGTAGAAATTTTATTTTGTCCAACAATATAGGAAATTATTACAGGCACAAATGAAAGAGCATTAGTGAATAATAATTGATATGTATCCTTTTTAATGTCTATCGATATTAATATGATGAGAAATATGACAGTGAGAATGCAAGGGAGATGGATGCTGTTGATGATTATGTTGCATATGAAGAGATTTTGAACAATGTAGATGAGTAACAGGTTGCACAGGATGTGTAGGACAGTGTGAATAGGGTTAGGATGGATATTATCATAATGGAATAATGAAATACTGCCCAACTTGTCACCATAATATTTATAAACATAAAAGTAATTGAAATAAATGACTAGGAAAATGTTTTTCATAACCTGCCCCACCATTGTACACATATACAACAAGAAGTAATTTGAAGTCAGCAGAGGAAGTAGCGTTTTTCTGTCTATTACTCTTAGGTACACGTTGAATAACAAATTTTTGAACAACCTGGTCGGCAGAGTAAATGACACATTAAACCACACTTTGAATCACCGTTTGTATAATCCTTTCGTAATGATAGACGTGAGTCAGTTGACTTAGAGTGTCGTTTACGCTTTAAAAATGCAGCAAATGGATTACGATATGTCAATCCTGTCTGTCGACTATCTGATAAACGTTTAGAGCGTCGATTTATTTCGTCAATTGATTGTTGTTGATCCTCAGTTGAATGCTGTATTTCTGGTAATACTGTCTGAACTTGTTTTGAATAGTGTCTACGAGATATTACTGTCTGTTCTGAGATATGTATAAACCATAAGAGAATCGCGAAAACAATTATTTGTTGCATTATTTTTATGTATTGTTAGTCGTGATTCAATTAAACTTTATTCCGACAAAATTAACACTTATATACAGGCGAGCTGTTATTACTACCATTATTATTATCGCTGTTCATATTATGATTCTAGGTATAGTGTACTGAAATGGACAGATTTCATTGGTTCAATGTTGTATGACTAAAGTGAATTTACTTATGCATAAGTGTTGTCGTATTCCTGTTCGAGTTAACGCCAACTAACCAAATAAATAAATTCAACATTTCCATTGTCTCCGGATACGCATGTGTGTATGTTATTGTACGCCTGTATCAGTACAATGTGTGCAGATATCGGCGTTTGCCTCTGCACACATATTATGTTTAATGCATACACCAGAGACATGGAACTCTATTCATTATCATACCCTTCATTTCATACAAACCAATCAACTAAATTATGGATATACAAGTAAGTCACTACTTTTGTAATCATTACCAGTATATTACTATTATTAGTACTATTAATATCACAAGTGATGGATATGAATACATACATTTTCATAACTGATTCACATTCACTGACCTGGGGATTATTGACCATGTCATCAATGAATTTCAATTCATTGTTCATTGTTCAATGTTACTGAAGTGAATACCGAGTTCATCTTGGTTGATTAACTAATACCTAAGAGTCAATAAATACTTGGAGATACTTGACTCAAAAATGTTCATCTTTCGATGTAAGTCTTAAAGCTTTATTGTGGTTATTGTAAACATAGAAGCCAAGAAATTTTCACCCCTTAATGCTTTCATTTTTCATGAGACTAGGTTATCTAAATAACTGAGTTTTCCGTATCATACCAGACGACATCTTATTGAAATTGAAAAGATTCGTATTGCCTTGCTACGAAAGTTTAAAGTATGATCTAACTAACTAAAAGTTCGATATAATAAAGAAATGGATCAAAACAAGACGTAGTTCATCCTTCTTACTATGCCTAATGTGAATATATCGGATCCTGATGACTAGTAATCCATCATCCATACTTAGTTTTTATGCATCAAATTAAATTCAAACGCTTTGATCAGCAGACAATAGTTTGATAAAAGGAAAGATGAATCTAGAAGAATACGAATATCAACAATAAAATGAGCATTCATTGAGCACGTAAAATGCTATTTAACCTTAGAACTGATGAATTAAATGTCAGACCCATTTAAAAATACGAAATTGGTTACATAATATATGACTGACATTCATCACGGACTGGCATCAGTTAAAGAACCATTGAAAACCTGAGAGCGCTGAACACTTGCTTTTTTCTAATATGGGACTCCTCAGCATTACGCACCAATGACCTCAACACAGGTCAAACTTAGGCCAGGCGGATTCCGTATTGGGAATGTTATCCTTGAACCAACTGGTTGAAATCTAATTGTTCACATTTCCCTACTTCTGTCAGTTGGCGTTATAACATAGTCTTTATTCAACATCGTCGTGAAGTACCTGTTATCACGTAAAATTTGGTTTCATAGTAATATTGGCTGTCTCTCACCTGCTACAGTCTTGTTACAACCAATCACAAGCGACTCTGAAGCATTTAGTTGATTTTAAAAACAGGGATGATAGAATTTGATATATTGTTTTACTGACTAAAGGAGACCTAGTAGGTCTCTGAAGGGATTCCCTTATCAAAAATTCATTTTAAAATGTCAGTTGATAAGTTTACAAAGCTTTATTCTTATTGTTCTGCGTCAGATGTTCAGAAGATCTATGAGGAAGACAATAAAGAGAAAAAAAGTGAACTATTTCGAAAAACTTCGAAAACGCAGGTCCAACAGATTTTCTGGTATGAACTACGAAACAAACTAGTAGGTTATTCAACGTGATCGGCATGTTAAGGCAGAAAACTTGGATAATCTTAAGATTTAGAAATGACAATACAGATACCATTCTCTGCTGCTTATCTACGAATAACTCATGTCAGCGGTTTATCAGTTCACTTTAATCTAAAGGAAAGATCATTCTGAAACTGGAATCCAAGGTACATTTACATGTTCAAATATTTTTGTAAAGTTAAGTATCATTCATAGCAGATATCATTCCTAGTCGACTATGTGGATTTATGATTGCACACGTTCTTCGATCTACTAAATTCACCTAAGCTGTCGACTCATAGTTTGACGCTATTGGGAAGTTCAAGCGCAAACTGCTAGAATTCGTATACTTATATCTAAATTGTACTGTAAAAGCCTCTACAATAGAATACTTCCAGAAAAAGTGTATATGTGTGACAATTTGTACCATTTCTTTTGCGAATTTGAACTCATCTTGACATTGTAAATCGAATGTTTCATAGAACTAACTTATTTTCTATTTGATTTTTGTCTCAATATAACAAAGTTTATCACTCTGGTCGTTCATCTTCTGATGTTTGTTTTGAATACAATTCATATTTATTGTTACCTATGATTTTCGCTTTATTTCTATGAGAATTTACATCAAATTCATTCACTTCTTTACTGGTTTTGTATCTTTGCTTTCTAATCTTCAATATTTTCACAATTCTCATACATTGTAAAATGAAAAATATATGTACAAACGTTTTTTTAATCTACCGCTTAAACTTAATATAAAAGTGATTGCATAGTCATGAGGATCTCATTCGCAGCAACCTTTGTTGTTTTTTTCTTTGCTTTTTTCGCTTGAGAGATTACTAATTCTCGAAATTTTATCAGCTGATCTCTTCAAGAGTGGTTTCTTGATGATGTTAATGCCTTGTTGACGGTTTTACGACAGTGGTATTGCAGAAGACAAAGTGAATTGCAAAAAAAACTCAATTTTATCAAGTTTCCTAAGAAATATAAATCCTTTTGTTGAAAATGAGTATATAAGTAGTATGGCAACACTTCAACCATTTTCGATAAACTTATTTTTCAAATTCTGATAGCTTATTTAAATTTTGTGCGTTATCTTGATGAATAAGAATAGAGCAAAGAATGTGCTACGCTTCTAATGAAGTTGTATACACCAGGTTACTATAAATTCTGTGGAGCATTAGAATTTTTACATGAATGTGGTGCGTATATGTGAACACAGTAGACAGAAACGTGGAAAAACAGTATAAGTTTCTTAATGTATTTCTTCGCTTCAATAAATATAGACAGAGAAAGGACAAATATAGCAGGTTAATATGAACTCATCTTTATTTTATGGATTCTCATCAACCACTTGCAACAAAAACAAAAACGAAATGCAACGATTACAATAATTCAGTATATTCTTCTCAATCTGCTGCTAAATAATACGGGCAGTGGAAGGTGTTAAAAATCCAGAAAACTGCTAATAACGTTGCTAGGAGTTTCTTTTCAAAGTCTAAGACTTGCAAGTAAAAATTCGTATTTCACATGAAATGTTAATCAGCTGAGAGCTGATTTACTTGTCTAGTTCCTGGTTTTCACCACTGACCAAAGTTCATTGGCAGAAAGCAGCAATGGGACCACTAAGTAAAGTGACGTGACACTATGATAGACTTTATTTCTATTAGAAGAAAGCACCGATCAGCAAGAAGTCTCATATCCCTAGCATTGCATAACTTTATCGACAGATTGTGATCATTACTAGGCATTGACACTAAACGCCTACATCAGCTGCCTTTTGGTGACCAGTTTGTATGCATAATCTACTCCTATAAAGGGTCACACACAGTCTGGCTAGCTCAGTGATTAATTCTCTGAAATCGCCACTTAGGATTTCATTTTCAAGACGCCGAGGGAACACTAGTTTCCTTATATTTGCAAATATGCGTACTGATGAATGTCGACATGCACGAAACCTTAGGCTTTATTCCAATCAACTCCCAAAATCCAAAACAAGAATTCATGTTTACTTTAAGACTGGAGTTAACAGAATCAAAACATTTAGTACCTCATTGAAGGTAGTCATGACAGGGTGACAAATCTCCTCCATAAAAATATTTGTTGAGATTTCTTATGTGAAGAGAGCACCATAGGATTAGTGCTAGTCAGAAAACTATGTGAATGAGGTTTTCAAAATCTTGCAACTGGTAGGCACTGAAGTTATTTGAAATTTCTTCAGAAAAATTACACTGCCACAGCGCTGTATTCTGAACCTCTCTTTGGATATTCACGTCATATGATGTCATTTAGTGTTACCATGTCAAATGTCAGTAAGAATTCTCACTAAAAGGCATAGAAATGGCTCAGTTAGCACTATGAAGTGAATGAAAGAGAAATAAAAACCTTTATTAAAGTGGAACTCAAACCAGCAGTGTTCGAATTACCTTCTGAGTGCTCTACCAACTGAGATATGAGACTCGGTTCCTGACTATATTTTAACTCCACTTCAGCCATCTAGGATTTTGCCTGAACATCATATGAATCGCTCCCACTTACGTGTTTGCCAATCATTATCGCACCCGCTGCTTAGTTAGGTCATTTCATTGTAACCAGAATCTACCTGACTTAGGAGGTGGGACATTGTGGTGATTGCTCATGAAGCTTTCTGAGACAGTGGTGGTTTGGCAGATTGTTGTTATTGATACAAGATGATCATTGAAGGTGAAATAAAAACCTGACTAGTGGTATTATTCAAACCAGCGACTCATGAGTTACGTTTCGGTTTCGTTGTTTTAATTTGTTCAGAGACTAGCTGTTGTAATCACTACAAATTCCAATTTTGGATATGTTTATTCAAGTCAAAGTTAAAACACATCCATCCCACTTTACATACTACGTCTTTTTATCGTTTTAAGTAAGATATTCAAATCACTGGAGAGAAGTTATATGGGAATTTAGGCAAGAAACCACAATATTTACTAATCACTGTTTTCTCAACCCTTCTGAGGCATCGTGCTGCGGAAAACATGCTCAGCTGTTCATTAGAGTTTGACTATTCACTTCTGTCATATTAATTAGCTTCATTGTTTTGGTTACTGACTAAAAGCAAATGTACTCTTAAAAAACTCAAACGTGGAGAAGCAGTGTTCAGATCATTTAAAGTGACCAGG